AAGAGATATTAGTTACCTATATATTTGGAGAATGAGAGAAAGAAGAGATGACTTTCTTGCAAGAAGGGTCCTGGATCTGTCTGTCTGAATGTGGGAAACCATCAAGCGGCATGGCGAGGACTATCTGCTTCCTGTCTAGGTTTGCTTGTCATGAAAAGGCAGAAAATGGGAAGTGCAAAAGAGGAAACAAAAGAGAGAGATGTCTACATCTTCCTGCATTTTAAGGTATGGTATTTTGCCACACACAATTGTCAAAGAGAAGTGGGCAGAGTGGCACCGATTTGGGGAGATGAGGTTAAGGGTTCTCTCACGTTCTTTATTTTTTCATTTTGTTCTTGCTGCTGCTTGATCCTCCTACCATACGTTCATCATACGTTCAGAAAGAGACTCTGAGTGGTCGAGAGGTCACACAGCAAGATGCTTCATAAGCTGCCAGTCAATTCAAGGACTGTCTCTGGGTTAGATGGCCCTCTGTAGACCAGTCAGCTTTGATACCAACAGGACTGTTGTCCTTAGGGACATCAGTAAGATCACTTTGCTCCACAGGGACCTGTGGGTAGAATTCCTTTAAATGGAGCTGCAGACACAAACTTTATCTAAGAAACAGGAGGGTTTCATTGAAAGCTGATAGAGCTGAAGATGCTGGCGGTAACCAGCCCTGCCCTTCTCTAATACATTGTACTATATAGATTTGGGCTTCAAGAGAAATAACCATCTCTGAGGTGAGGATGGTAGAATTTGATAGCTGATAGAGTTTGAGGGTTTCCACTCTGGGAGACCTGGTGGTAAGTGAATTTTAAATCTGTTGAATGACTAAACAAACATATAGCCTGAAAAAGCAATTTTCTGGAGTTACTGATTTTAGATTCTGGGAGCATTGGATTACTATTAATAGATTGAATTTAAACTGGTATGAGTTCAATTCTGCTACTATTGGTGGCCTTTAGCAAGTTATTTGTCTTAATTTCTATTTCTTCATTTATACATGGGGATTTAACATACCTGCCCTATCTCTAATCTCATAGGGTTGTTGTGATATCAACAAGGAGATAAGACAGATTAAAGTGCTCTGAAAACTGCCAAGTATCACACAGATGTGAGGTCCCATTACTAATATGTGAATACCAGGCTATTATTCCAAGTGATTCTCCTCTAGGACTCATCCCTGTGTGTGCTGTTGTCTGTGTGGAGTAGAGGTGGGAAGGATGGGAGGTAGTATAAAACTGCTGACTAACAGGTATCTCACAAGAGAGGGAAATGCTGTAATGCCCTTGGGACACTGTTTCTTCCTTCAACTCCCCTCAAACATTTCAGGACAGAGAAATTATTTGTATTCCAATGAGCTTCTTGTATCTTTTTCTAGGTGGCCTGTGATGTGAAGGGCTCATAAGTGGGACAAAAGAAAGAAAACCATTTGGCTTCAGTACAAAGAAAGAGGTACAATTTGAAATTTGTTGGCTCTGGAGACTCTTGAGAGATCATTTTGATAGTTAGGAGGTGCAGACAGCATGTGCTGTGCTCTGTGTGTGTGTGTGTTAGAGGGTGTGCTGTGTGTGTGTGTGTGTTAGAGGGTGTGCTCTGTGTGTGTTAGAGGGTGTGCTGTGTGTCTTAGAGAGTGTGCTGTGTGTGTGTTAAAGGGTGTGCTGTGTGTGTTAGAGGGGGTGCTGTGTGTGTGTGTGTGTTAGAGGGTGTGCTCTGTGTGTGTTAGAGGGTGTGCTGTGTGTCTTAGAGAGTGTGCTGTGTGTGTGTTAAAGGGTGTGCTGTGTGTGTTAGAGGGGGTGCTGTGTGTGTGTGTGTGTTAGAGGGTGTGCTCTGTGTGTGTTAGAGGGTGTGCTGTGTGTCTTAGAGAGTGTGCTGTGTGTGTGTTAAAGGGTGTGCTGTGTGTGTTAGAGGGGGTGCTGTGTGTGTGTGTGTGTTAGAGGGTGTGCTCTGTGTGTGTTAGAGGGTGTGCTGTGTGTCTTAGAGAGTGTGCTGTGTGTGTGTTAAAGGGTGTGCTGTGTGTGTTAGAGGGGGTGCTGTGTGTGTGTGTGTGTTAGAGGGTGTGCTCTGTGTGTGTTAGAGGGTGTGCTGTGTGTCTTAGAGAGTGTGCTGTGTGTGTGTTAAAGGGTGTGCTGTGTGTGTTAGAGGGGGTGCTGTGTGTGTGTGTGTGTTAGAGGGTGTGCTCTGTGTGTGTTAGAGGGTGTGCTGTGTGTCTTAGAGAGTGTGCTGTGTGTGTGTTAAAGGGTGTGCTGTGTGTGTTAGAGGGGGTGCTGTGTGTGTGTGTGTGTTAGAGGGTGTGCTCTGTGTGTGTTAGAGGGTGTGCTGTGTGTCTTAGAGAGTGTGCTGTGTGTGTGTTAAAGGGTGTGCTGTGTGTGTTAGAGGGGGTGCTGTGTGTGTGTGTGTGTTAGAGGGTGTGCTCTGTGTGTGTTAGAGGGTGTGCTGTGTGTCTTAGAGAGTGTGCTGTGTGTGTGTTAAAGGGTGTGCTGTGTGTGTTAGAGGGGGTGCTGTGTGTGTGTGTGTGTTAGAGGGTGTGCTCTGTGTGTGTTAGAGGGTGTGCTGTGTGTCTTAGAGAGTGTGCTGTGTGTGTGTTAAAGGGTGTGCTGTGTGTGTTAGAGGGGGTGCTGTGTGTGTGTGTGTGTTAGAGGGTGTGCTCTGTGTGTGTTAGAGGGTGTGCTGTGTGTCTTAGAGAGTGTGCTGTGTGTGTGTTAAAGGGTGTGCTGTGTGTGTTAGAGGGGGTGCTGTGTGTGTGTGTGTGTTAGAGGGTGTGCTCTGTGTGTGTTAGAGGGTGTGCTGTGTGTCTTAGAGAGTGTGCTGTGTGTGTGTTAAAGGGTGTGCTGTGTGTGTTAGAGGGGGTGCTGTGTGTGTGTGTGTGTTAGAGGGTGTGCTCTGTGTGTGTTAGAGGGTGTGCTGTGTGTCTTAGAGAGTGTGCTGTGTGTGTGTTAAAGGGTGTGCTGTGTGTGTTAGAGGGGGTGCTGTGTGTGTGTGTGTGTTAGAGGGTGTGCTCTGTGTGTGTTAGAGGGTGTGCTGTGTGTGTGTTAGAGGGTGTGCTGTGTGTCTTAGAGAGTGTGCTGTGTGTGTGTTAAAGGGTGTGCTGTGTGTGTTAGAGGGGGTGCTGTGTGTGTGTGTTAGAGGGTGTGCTGTGTGTGTGTTAGAGGGTGTGCTGTGTGTGTGTTAGAGGGTGTGCTGTGTGTGTGTTAGAGGGTGTGCTGTGTGTGTGTTAGAGGGTGTGCTGTGTGTGTGTTAGAGGGTGTGCTGTGTGTGTGTTAGAGGGTGTGCTGTGTGTGTGTTAGAGGGTGTGCTGTGTGTGTGTTAGAGGGTGTGCTGTGTGTGTGTTAGAGGGTGTGCTGTGTGTGTGTTAGAGGGTGTGCTGTGTGTGTGTTAGAGGGTGTGCTGTGTGTGTGTTAGAGGGTGTGCTGTGTGTGTGTTAGAGGGTGTGCTGTGTGTGTGTTAGAGGGTGTGCTGTGTGTGTGTTAGAGGGTGTGCTGTGTGTGTGTTAGAGGGTGTGCTGTGTGTGTGTTAGAGGGTGTGCTGTGTGTGTGTTAGAGGGTGTGCTGTGTGTGTGTTAGAGGGTGTGCTGTGTGTGTGTTAGAGGGTGTGCTGTGTGTGTGTTAGAGGGTGTGCTGTGTGTGTGTTAGAGGGTGTGCTGTGTGTGTGTTAGAGGGTGTGCTGTATGTGTTAGAGGGTATGCTATGTGTGCTCTGTGTGTGTGTTAGAGGGTATGCTGTGTGTGCTGTGTGTGTGGGTGGGTGTGTGTGTGAGAGGGTGTGTGTGTTATAGAGGGTGGTGTGTGTGTGCGCGCGTGCAAGCACCTGTATGTGTTAGAGGGTGTGCTGTGTGTGGGGGTGGGTGTGTGTGTGAGAGGGTGTGTGTGTTATAGAGGGTGGTGTGTGTGTGCGCATGTGTGTGTGTGTTAGAGGGTGTGCTGTGTGTGTGTGTTAGAGGGTGTGTGTGTTTAGAGGGTGGTGTGTGTGTGCGTGTGTGTGTGTGTTAGAGGGAAAGAAGCAGAGAGTGTGCCAAGTAGTACAAAATGACGAGTTTTCCACTTTTCCTCCGTTGGCTATAAACTCAGCTTCGTGGGGGCGAACTGACAGCTTTCCACGTACCTGTCACAGTGGGCCTGAGGAAGAGGCCACTCTTCCAGCCGTCTAGTGAGGCGATTCCTAGGGGTTAATGAACTGGAAGAACAGTTATAACAAAATCTAAGCTAGTGATACTGCTTGTTGAATATAATTTTATTTTCAGAAAAGACAAATTGGGAGGGGCAGGGAAAATGACTTAGATGTCAGGTACTTCTTATTTCAGCTTAACCTCAAAATATCATCATGAAATGAATTTTATCATTCTTAATTTATAAGTAAGGCAATTAAACTTCAGAAAATTTAAATGACTACCCAAAGTCTGTAGCTAGTAAATAGAAAATCTGGTGTTCAAGTTCAGGCTAGCTTTTTTTTTTTTTTTTTTTTTTTTTTTTTTTTGGAGTATTTTTTGCTATAGGGCGCATGCGCTCGCCAGACAGACAGAGAGAGACATAGAGACAGAAAGCGAGAAATCACCCCCCAGGGGGGATGGTCATGCTGCAATCCCTTCTCCTCCATTCTCCTCTCGGGATCTTGGGCATGCACGCACACGTGCCCGGTGTGAGTTTTAAGCCACTGGGTCCGGGACGCAAACCCCGGTTGACTATGTGGGAGTCCAGCGACATAGTCATTACGCTAACTGCTGGTTCCCTAGGCTAGTTTGATTTGAAACCCCTTGCATTCCTCATGACACTGTGTTGGAGCTCAGGACCTCTAAACCATCATCTGAAGAGTTAACATGGAAAAACTGTCTAAGAATGTATTTATCTTGATTCAAATGTTACATTCAACAATTTCAGATTAAAGTCTACTAGGGGTGGTTTTGGGGTCACCTAATTTACTCATGGTCCATCTCTGGTGAAATCGAGGCAAATGAAAATATCTTATTTTTAAAATTTATTTTATTTTAATTTCTTTTATACATTCAATCACTATACATTGCTTATCTTATAAAGTGAATTTTCCAACATGAATACATTTCTCACCAGTCCAATAGGGGATACTATACACATTATCATCAACAGATAATAATAACTCATACCAATTTAAATCCAATCTATTAATAGTAATCCAGTGCTCCCAGAATCTGGAAACTGTAACTCCAGAAAATTGATTTTTCAGACTAAATGTTTGTTTAGTCATTCAACACATTTAAAATTCACCAGGTTTCCCAGAATGGAAACACCCAAATCCTATAAGCTATCCCTATTTTTCTCCTTAATGTCTTTCCTCAGATACTCCTTCTTCTCCCACCCTCTTCCTACACTGTATCTAGCATCTTTAACCATTTTCCATGTTTCTATATCCTCTAATCTTTCAGTTTCAGCCATAGAGTGTGGACAGTCGGTTTATGTTAAGTGGAGGCATACAACTTCTCTCCTACATAGCCTGGCTTGCTTCACTCAACAGTAAACCTTCGTCCACTTTCTCTCAAAAGCCAGGGACTTGTGTGTGTGTGTGTGTCTTTATTTTTATTATTATTATTTTTTTATGGCTGAGTAGTTTTCCATAGAGTATATGTGCCACACTTTTTATTTTTTTGGAGAGATTTTTGCTATAGGGCACATGCGCTCACCAGACAGACAGACAGAGACATAGAGACAGAAAGTGAGAAATCACCCCCCAGGGGGGATGGTCATGCTGCAATCCCTTCTCCTCCATTCTCCTCTTGGGATCTTGGGCATGAGTTTTTTAAGCCACTGGGTCTGGGATGCGAACCGCGGTCGACCACGTGGGAGTCCAGCGACATAGCCATTACGCTAACTGCTGGTTCCCTGTGCCACACTTTTTCAATCTATTCGTATTTGTGGAGATTTAGGTTGGTTCCATGTCTTAGCAATTGTTAGTAATGCCGCAATAAACATAGATGGGCAAGTACTTTTCTGAATAAGCATTATCCTGTCCTTTGGGTAGATACCCAGGAGAGGAGAGCTATCGCAATAGCAGTAATAGCATGTGTGGATTGTCTTTGGCCTCCGTGTTGAGCTAAATTGTTCACATACCCATGGGCACAATATTATACCAATGGTCCACACCTTGTGCAGCTCCCAGAGTTCCCTGACAGTACACACTTGGCCTGCTTGGAGGTGTAGAAAAAGTAACATTATTCAGTGTTTAGTGCAGACATGACCAGATAGCCTGGTTTTCATTATGGTTTCACCTTTCATTAGTTATATAAACCTGGGCAAGTTGTATTTTGTGCCTTAGTTTTATCATCTGTAGAATGGGGATAATAGTACCTACCTCACAGTGTAGTTATGAGGAGGAAATGAAATTGTGCGTTAAATCATTTAGCATAGTACTAGGTCATAGGAAGCACTCTATGTTTCTACTGTTACTTGGATAGTCCTTGTTTATAGTCACACATAACCACGTGCTTTATTGAATTGTGCTGAGTAATTGTTATTGCTGTGCTTTCGTGGATGGAAGTAGGGAGGCAACCCAGGGGCTAATACTGGACCCAGTGTGGGGCTACAAAGAATGGCGTAGTTAAGGGTGGTGGCTGGGGGAGTTAAGAGGAGGGCAGATTGCCATCACCTTGCTGGCTCTCAAGTTTGCATAGTCTTGAAGGCTCCCAAGTAGACACGTTCCTGACATCCTTAAGTGTAGGTAAGACCGTGCTTCCAGACACAAGCAGTCCTAAGACCATAGCACTCATGCTTTGGTCTGGCTTGACCATGGTTTTCAATCTGGGGACTTGGAACTAAACTATTGAAGGGCCCTAGTCAGGCAACAACACAGATGTCAGTATTAGTACAGGGTCTGTGTAAGGAAGTGCTCCGTGGTTTGTCTGTTTGAAGCATTAATGATTACCTGCTTCGTTCAGAATCCTGATTAAGGATAGAATGTGGGATGAGCAGAGCTGAAGAAGGCCAGGGTCTGGCTTCCAGTGACAATTGTGGCAGATACATAGCATCACAGTAATTGTTAATAGGTAACACCAAATCTTTTGCTTGCCTTGTTTTCTTTTCTGTAAGTTTATGAGACAGGTGCCATTTTTAACCTTGATTTAAGTTAGGGAAACAGAAGCTGGTGCTATAAGCTCCTCCAGTTGGTGTGCAGGCCTGGACTTTGAATTCAGGTCTACCTAGTTCAAATCTGGACCTTTTAGTCAGCACCTACAGAAACCTCACAGCATTCCTGTGTCTCAGTTCTCTCATCGATAAGACGAGGGGGCTATACTTGGCGATCATTAAGTTTCCAAAGTTCCAACCCACATGGGCTCTGGAGCTGTGAGGATGTGTTGGGTGGCTGTTTAGACACGTGCTGCCATCGAGCCGCTGTGGATAGCAATGAGATAATGTAGACAAAGATCTTGGTACCCAACAGGGCTCCATGCAGGTTAGTTTTCTTTTCTTTTCTTTCTTGGCTCTAAATTCTTTGATTCCTTGATGCCAAAGAAGCATAGTAAATCAGGTTCCCAAAGGCTGGTTCCAGACTGCTGGTTCCTGACAATATTTTCACTGGTGTTTGGTGAATGAGAAAAATATGGACAAAGAAGTAAACTTTTAAAAAAGATAAATTCAGGTTGGCCTCATAGCCTACTGGTTAATGGAGCTGGAGCCCATGTGGCTGACCACAGTTCGAATCCTGACCCTTTTGGCTTGAAAAACTCACCAGATGCCTGTGTATGTGCATGCCTCCAATCCCAACAGAATGGAGAAATGGAGAAAGGAGAGTGGCATGATCACTCCCATTAGGAGGATTCTATCTCTTCTTCCTGGTCTCTCTGGCAAGCACATATGCTCTCTGACAAAAACAAAACAAAACAAAACAAATATTTAAGGTCACAGTTACATTTATATCATATATTTAAAATAATAACCAAATGTTGCTTATGCTTATGACTAGTACAATACTACCTATTGGACTTACTGCTGTATCGTTAGTCAACATATCATAAATGAGGCACATATTGCAATTAGAAATTTTTGTAACTGTATTTCAGTGTAATTTATTTCCTTTGTATTACTTATTTGATCTCATGTAATTAAAAAAATTTCAGAAAAGTTTGTAGGAAGCACCAGAGTGCTAAAGATTCTCTGTAACTCCAATAGGCTTAAAATGCCTCATGTAGTGGCAAGAAAAGAAAAACTTTTGAAAACATTTTCAAAAAAAATTTCATTCACAGATCAGCAGATTGTGTTACAAAATGTCAAGGGGTTCCAGAGAGATTTGGAGTCTTTGGGAAAGACAGGGGTAGGGGAAGAAGGATTCTTATGGGAACCCAAGGCCATTTCATTTTTGCTCTTCATCATCTGCAGATTGAGGAAGTCCTGGCTTCTAGCAGACACAGTGTGTGTCCTCGCTGCCAAAAAGCATTCAGTGCTCAGGGGGTGGAGTGGTCACAGGGGCTGGCTTCTCTCTCCAAGGTTTAGGGATGTTCTCCTTAGAGGAAGACTTTGATTATTAATTAACTTACAATTCTGATCCTGGGAATGAAAGCTGGGCTCTCATTGGCATTCGGAATTCATTAACGTTTTCTTGATAGGGCAGTAAACGGTTACCAGAGCTCTGGTTGCTTTCCGTGGACTGTGCTCCTCTGTTTTATTGCTAGGCCATCGTCCAGAGAGTGTGGAGCAGCTGCTGCAGCCAGTGATGAGGTATGTTGGCCAACTTTGTGTCCATTTATGGCTTCAGATGTGTGCGTATGCGTGTGTGTGTGCGCGCGTGCAAGCACATGTGAATTTGTGCTTATCTCTCCACTTTTTTTGGTGCTAGCTGTTGGTCTTTTCCAGGTCTGCTTGAGTGTCACACTCACATGGCAGCTGTCTCTTCAAGGAATGATACAAGAGAAAAGGAAGAAGCTGCGATGCCTTTGATAGTTTGACACAGACAAAAGTGAACGACATTAACAAACCCCCCCAAATTATGCTAGTGCACACATGTAACTCATTTATCTTTTTGTCCTAGTGTTTGTGTGTGTGCATGCATGTGAACAGGCATGTACAGTGTTCCTCTGGACAAGGCTGGACATGCAAGCCTGATTGTAGCAAAACCTGTACGTTCATGTGTGTGTGTCTGAGTGACATGTGATGGATTTAACATTTGAAGTGGGGCAACAGGCAGAAATCATTTTTGATTCTGAATATGAAGTGGGGAAGTAAGGAAAAGTTATTCGAATTTGGGAATAGGATTAGAGCATTTTGAAACATTCCTTCTAAAAGGATGTGAAGTTGTGATAGAGGACTAGTGGTCAGAGAATCAATCATAGCCAGGAAACTGAGAAACCTACTATTGGGTTGTCAGGAAAGTCATGATACATTTTTGCATAGAAAAACATAGAAAAATACATCATGATTTTTCCTGTGACCCAATACTATCCTTATTGGTTTGGTACATTTACTGATGAATAATGAATTATTTAGGGAAGAGACTGAGAGTGTGTGTGTATGTGTATGTATGTGTGTGTGTGTGTGTGTGTGTGAAATATTGGGATGCACGTGTGAGTTGGTGTGCAGTGAGAATGAAGAGGGATTTCATGTAGAGTCTGGAGGAAAGGCATGATGTGAGGCAGGTGTCTGGACTGTCCGTCATGTGTGAGAATGGAAGTGCCTGAGGGGTGAGGGACAGAAGATGGATTGTTGGAGGCCCTTTTCTGGTAAAACTTTTAAAGAGAGTAGGATCCTAACTAGTTGCAAGACCTGACCCTGACTCTGGTACTTTTTTTCTGACTGGTCACTGAGGTGGGAACAAGAGTTACTACTGGGGAAAGGGAGAGGGGCAGAATCAATCCCCACCAGTCTCACTGGAAAAGGGTACTGGTAGGTCGTTGATATAGGGCCAGATCTGTGGCCTTGATGTGCTGAGGGCCTCTAGATTTCCAGACTGTCTACTGGCTTGTCTCATTGTGTGGGACAGTGAGTGTGTGTGTCAGGTGGATAGAAGGGGGTAAAAGGGAGGGGTTTGTGGGGCTGGGAAATGAATTGGAAAGACATTCGACCTTGCACCCTGAATTTAAGATAGCTCATCAGTATTTTGTTTATTCTTTGACAAGATGTCAATGACTTTTTAATCATGTATTTTCACACAAATGAGTTTCAGTGAGCTAGTAAAATTATTTTCAAACTGCTCCATTAAGCAGGTGGTACCACAGAGTAGACAGATGTAGAAGATATTTTCCTTTAAGATATACTCAGATGGTAGTTGTAAAATGTGATAAGGAAGATAAACCTTTACACACCCTGTTCTGATGTTACACAAAAACACAGCTATCTTTTAGAGCTGGTACCTTTGTAATTCATATGGGGAAACTGAGGCCCAGAGGGGTTAAGTGGGTTTTCTTTTCTTTTTTTTCTTTTTTGGAGATGTTTTTGCTGAAGGGCATGTGCACTTGCCAGACAGAGAGAGACAGAGAGGTAGAAAGCGAGAAATCACCCCCCAGGGGGGCTGGCCACGCCGCAGTCCCTTCTCTTCCATTCTCCTCTCGGGATTATAACTCTTCGGAGGCCCCTCTCGTGTGTGTGTGTGTGTGTGTGTGTGTGTGTGTGTGTGTGTGTGAAATATTGGGATGCACGTGTGAGTTGGTGTGCAGTGAGAATGAAGAGGGATTTCATGTAGAGTCTGGAGGAAAGGCATGATGTGAGGCAGGTGTCTGGACTGTCCGTCATGTGTGAGAATGGAAGTGCCTGAGGGGTGAGGGACAGAAGATGGATTGTTGGAGGCCCTTTTCTGGTAAAACTTTTAAAGAGAGTAGGATCCTAACTAGTTGCAAGACCTGACCCTGACTCTGGTACTTTTTTTCTGACTGGTCACTGAGGTGGGAACAAGAGTTACTACTGGGGAAAGGGAGAGGGGCAGAATCAATCCCCACCAGTCTCACTGGAAAAGGGTACTGGTAGGTCGTTGATATAGGGCCAGATCTGTGGCCTTGATGTGCTGAGGGCCTCTAGATTTCCAGACTGTCTACTGGCTTGTCTCATTGTGTGGGACAGTGAGTGTGTGTGTCAGGTGGATAGAAGGGGGTAAAAGGGAGGGGTTTGTGGGGCTGGGAAATGAATTGGAAAGACATTCGACCTTGCACCCTGAATTTAAGATAGCTCATCAGTATTTTGTTTATTCTTTGACAAGATGTCAATGACTTTTTAATCATGTATTTTCACACAAATGAGTTTCAGTGAGCTAGTAAAATTATTTTCAAACTGCTCCATTAAGCAGGTGGTACCACAGAGTAGACAGATGTAGAAGATATTTTCCTTTAAGATATACTCAGATGGTAGTTGTAAAATGTGATAAGGAAGATAAACCTTTACACACCCTGTTCTGATGTTACACAAAAACACAGCTATCTTTTAGAGCTGGTACCTTTGTAATTCATATGGGGAAACTGAGGCCCAGAGGGGTTAAGTGGGTTTTCTTTTCTTTTTTTTCTTTTTTGGAGATGTTTTTGCTGAAGGGCATGTGCACTTGCCAGACAGAGAGAGACAGAGAGGTAGAAAGCGAGAAATCACCCCCCAGGGGGGCTGGCCACGCCGCAGTCCCTTCTCTTCCATTCTCCTCTCGGGATCTTGGGCACGCAAGCACACACGCCCGGCATGAGTTTTAAACCACCCGGTCTGGGACGCGAACTGCGGTAGACTACATGGGAGTCCAGCGACATAACCATTATGCTAACTGCTGGTCCCAAGTGGGTTTTGTAAGGTCAAAACCCTGTCTGGGATGGACAGAGCTAGCTCTGTCACTTTGGGTGTGCTCAGACTCACAAAGAAGTCCTTAGCTCCTTTTTTTTCCTGTCCATTCTCTAAGTAGCAGGGAGACAATGGACTAATCCATTGAGTATTGCCCGGTGTTTTTGAAGACTACCTGTGGCTTGCTGGGGTCCTCTTTGCAAGTTATTGCTGGTCTCTATAAAACTGATCTCTTTTCCACTAGATCTCTTGCCTTGTGTTATTAAAGGATTTTAAAAGAATGGCTAAGCTCTCTGTATACAGACATTAGCTATATTCCAAGACACTAGCGATATCCCCAAAAGAAGACAGCTATCCAGTTTTTCCAGAATCATTTAGATAGCCATTTAAATTTCTCTGCCCTCTTGTGGTTTATCTGTTTTGTCCAAATAAATATAAATTTATCAGGAAAATTATCTTTGATGATTGTTTACATAACCAAATATTCCAAAAAGAAAAAAAAAACACTATTAAGTTTGAGAGATATGTCCAGTGATAACTCTCACCTTTTCAGTGGGATTTTCCACAATGTACCTAATTAAAATTGCAATCCTCACCCCCATATTTTTCATCTTTCCTCTTGCTTTATTCTTTTCCAGAGAGTTTATATGTTGGGTCAATGGAAGACTCATATTTTTCTATGCAAAAATGTGTCATGCCTTTTCCAACGACCCAACAGTTTAACCTACTATATTTATTGCCCACAAGAATATGTGGAAAAGGATTTGTACGTTTTATTTTCTATCCAATAGCCAGCTCCTAGAAGAATGCTTAGCACATTGTAGGAGCTTAACGAATAATTTATGAATGAATAAATAAGCCACAAGCAGATTTCCCTTTCCTCCAAAGATGTAGCTTTGATAACCTGATGACAAATAAATATAAGAAATAAGGCACATCAACAGTTAGTTACCCTTGGTCTCACAGAGAATTTTTAAACAGTGTGTGGACCATCAACTTAAAGTGAATTGATACTACAGATGCTTCTAAAACACTTCAAAAACTCCCAGTTGCTATGGAGACTGAAACATTACAGAATGTTTGTTTCCTTTCATTTTTGTAAACTTTCTAACCTTATGTTTGGCATTAGAAGGCATCTCTCATACATCCTGTCTCCCTTTGTTTAGAAACTGTTATTCATGAATTTATAGGTTTTTTGCATTTGCAGCACATTAAAGGGGGTTGGTGTAACATGGGCCTTAAGAGCAATGGCTCTGAATTCTGATTGCCTGGTTAGAAGCTTGGCTCTGCTACTAAAGTGGTCTGGACCTTGGCCAAGCTAACTGCTACAGGCTCAGTTAATTCATGCGTAAGATGGGATCAATCATCCCTAATTGTGAGGTGGTTGTGAGAATCAAATAAAATAATACATGTAAGCTCTCAGTATAGTACCATACTAACCAAATCCTCGGTTAGTAAGGCATACACTACCTGATGCGTCCACGATCTCACAGCAAAGCTTAAGCTGGTGTGTACTGTGGGGTACAATAGCACAGAACATGGAGAAATGGCTACGAGCTTTGTCTGCAGAGTCCGAAGGACAGGTGTTCGCATTGTGACTTTGCTCTCTATCAGCTGTATGACATCAAGCAGATTACCTGACCTTTATGAAGCTTAATTTTTTTTATCTGAAAGTGGGCACGGTAGTAGTAACTAACTCGGAGTTGTTAGGAGAATTGTGCGTGACAAATTATGGAAACCTCTTAGCATGTTCACTCAGTCATTGCAAACCATTATTATCATTAGCATTAAAAGTACATAATTATATGTTTGTCATAGTACAAGAGAATATTGATGACAGAGTGTCAAGTAGCAGTTTTTATCTTTTAAAAGCATTTAATACTATTCAAATCACTTATGGTTTTTATTTGCCTTTTGCCAGTTTTTCTTGATCTTTGTTTTTTAAAAATAATGATTTAATTTTGTTTATTGTTATTATTATTATTAAATTTTCTATAAGGCACATGCTCGCCAGAAAGATAGACTGAGAGAGAGAAAATGGAAAGCAAGCCACCAGGTCCAGGATTCGACCCACTGTTGGCTATGTGGGAGTCCTGCACCCCAACCAGCAGGTCACCTGCTAGCCCTGATCTTAGCTTTTTTAAAATTACATTTTTTAGAATTATTCAATTTTTATTTATTATTATTTTTTCAAATTTTTTATAGGCACATGCTCTCACCTTAAAAGAGAAAGAGAGAGAGAGAGAGAGAGAGAGAGAGAGATAAACCACTCTGTCAGGTTTGGGACTTGAACGACAGTTGGCCATGTGAGAGTCCAGTGTCTTAACCACCATGCCACTTGCTAGCCCCAAAATTACATTTTTAATGGAGAGAGTAGGATTAACTATCAAGGTGCTGTAATGAAGGAAGTAAGTTCAGTCAGATAATGCTGAAAAGTTTTTTTTCCCTTAAGATTTTTTTAAAGAATTATTTAATTTAATTTTATTTATTCATTCATTTATTTTAATTTGACGAGAGAGAGAGAGAGAGAGAGAGAGAGAGAAAGAGAGAAAGCAAGCTGCCAGATCCAGGACTTGAACCATGGTCAGCCATGTGGGAGTGTCCAGTGCCTTAACCACCATGCCACCTGCTGGTCCCTCCCTTTAAGATTTAAGGAAGTAGAGACCTGCCATCTTCCAGTAATTCACTAAAATGACAAACGCAAAAGAAGAGAGCCACCTGATATAAGTTCTATAGGCCTTTTAGAAAATATGGAGTGGTTCCTTTGACAATGTACATGGGAATCTACAAGAAAGGTGATATTGTAGACATCGAGGGAATGGGTACTGTTCAAAAAGAAATGCCCCACAAATGTTACCATGGCAAAACTGGAAGAGTCTACAGTATTACCTAGCATGCAGTTGGCATCATTGTAAACAAACATGTTAAGGGCAAGATCCCTGCCAAGAGAATTAATGTGCATATTTAGTATATTAAGCATCCTAAGAGCAGAGACGGCTTCCTAAAACGTGTGAAGGAAAATGATCAACAAAAGAAGGAAGCCAAAGAGAAAGGGACCTGGGTTCAACTGAAGCACCAGCTGGTCTACCCAGAGAAGCACACTTTGTGAGAACCAACGGAAAAGAGCCTGAGCTTCTGGAATCTATTTCCTATGAATTCATGGCATGATGGGGTATTAAAAATAATCTAATCTATAGTATATAAAAAAGATTAAAGAAAATAATCTCTCTAGGAAAGAGATATTACTGTTCTGCAGAGCAGGTAACCATATTTGAATACATGAAACACAAAGACTTTTAATAGGAAGCATGCAGATTAAAAAAACACCCATCGTATTTTATTTAAAAGTTATATTAACCTGTGCATATTAGTTATCTATTACTGAGTAAGAAATTTCCCCAAAATTATATAGTTTAATACAAACACTTGTTATCTCTCAATTTCTGTGAGTCATAATGACAGGGGTGGATTAGCTGAGTGGTGCTGGCTCAGGGTCGGTTCCTCGTGAGGTTCCAGTGAGTGTGAGAGTGTGCCATCCAGAACTGCAGTCATGGGGAAGCTAGGCTGGTGATGGAGGATCTGCATTCAAGATGGCTCACTACTGGCTGTTGGCAGGAGGCCCCAGTTCTGTGCTGGTTGTTGGAAATTTCCCTAGGCCTGCTTGAGTGTATGCCATGGCAGCTGGTTTTTTCAAGAAGCGATCTAAGAGAAAGAGCAAGAAAGAAATTGCAATGTGTTTTTAAACCCAGTCTTGGAGTCTATTACCACCCCTCTGCCATATTCTATCTTTAGAAGTCACTAAGTCCAGCTTGCCCTGGAAGGGTGGTGGTGGGTTGGGGCCTTGGCTCAACCTCTCAAAGGGGAGATTATCAAAGTTATGGACTTTAAAAATTCTGCTGTATCATAATTATAAATAATACCAAATTTAATTTTACTTCAAATATTTACTCAGTGCACACTTTGTGGCTATATCCACTCTTATCAATCTTTTGGTGAAGGAAATACCATGAACAACCTTTAGGAAGTAATGCTTGTAGATACTCCGTGTTACATAATGAAAGACCGCCGTTTATCTGTTCCAGCTGAAAACAGCTGACAGATGGCTTTGCTTTAGGGAATTGCTATAGATAAAACTCCTTCTCCTATACTTTGTACTACTTGATTTGTCATTGAGTGTTTTATGCATGACACAGAATACACCATGACAAACCCTCCAGTCTTTTTAGTCTGACGTTTAAAAGACCTTGCTGCTTATTTTACTCAGTAAATACTGAACTGAAAACCGATATTGAGAGCCAAGGAGGACAAGAGAACTATTGCCTTTTGAGTTCCCCTCTCTCCTCATAGAGTGGAGTGTGAGTAGTTCTTTCTCATTTCCTCTTTAGACTGGACCTAAGGAGTAGGTGGCCAACAATTTGGTATTACATATAGTGCTATAATTAAAACAAATGAACAAAAAACCCTTTATCTGTATATACATTGATTCTCAAATCAAGTGTATTCTGCAGAGCAGGTAACCATATTTGAATATAGAAAACACTGGAATATATATATTTATATTTTTTTCTGGGATAAATATCTATAAATAGAATTCCTGGATTGTGTGTCCCATTTTGATAGTTTTGGTAAAGTCTTCATTGAGCATATGGTATTTACAATTGGGTCAGCTTCATGTTGGTATGTTGGTGCTTACAGTGTCTAATGCTCTATTAACAAATACTTGAGAAAATTAAAAAATATTATCATAGCACTCTCCTAGGCCAGCCCATGATATGGTGGTTAGAGTGACTGGATCCACATGACTGACTACATGATTCGAGTCCCAGACCTAGCAGCTTGAAAAACTTGCAGTATGTGTGTGCTTGCCCAAAATCTCAAAAAGAGGGTGAAATGGAGAAGGGATTGTGTCATTTCCCATAGGTGATTTCTCACTTTCCCTGTCTGTCTCTCTCTGGAGAGAGAATGTGCTCTGTGGCAATTGTTTTTTGAGAGAGATTTTTGCTATGGCTTGCATGTGTTTGCTGGAGAGACAGAGAGAGATAGAGAAACAGAAAGCGAGAAATCACCCCCTAGTGGAGGTGGCCAAGCTGCAATCCCTTCTCCTCCATCCTTCTCTCAGAATTTTGCAAACAGATGCACATGTGCCTAGTGCAAGTTTTAAGCAACAAGGTCTGGGACTTAAACCACGGTTGACTACCTGGGAGTCCAGCAACATAGCCATTATACCAACTGCTGGTTCCCCCTTATTTATTTATGTTTTTAATAAAAATGAACAACAATCTCTCATTTCACAGCTTTTATCAACCACCAAAGAACAAGAGCGACATGGCCACTTCATAACTGATAACTCTTGATTCTGATAATTCTTCTCTTGTCAGTGAACATAAAATCACTCTGTCTTATTAGTTAATTTAACTAAATCAGACATGAAATGTTTTTAATCTTTATGGAATTTTACAAGCAAGAGCATTATTTTGGGATTTCTAATAAAGTAGAGTAGAGTTGGGATTCTAGAAAAAAATAAGGCAATCTTTGTTGTAAAGAAAGCTAGCCCCAGGAACCAGCAGTTAGCATAATGGCTATGTTGCTGGACTCCCACGTAGTCGACTGTGGTTCGCGTCCCGGACCTGGTGGCTTAAAACACGCCGGGGGTGTGTGCATGCATGCCCAAGATCCCGAGAGGACAATGGAGGAGAAGGGATTGCGGCGTGACCATCCCCCCTGGGGGGTGATTTCTAGCTTTCTGTCTCTATGTCTCTCTCTGTCTGTCTGGTGAGCACACGTGCCCTATAGCTAAAACCTCTCCAAAAAAAAAAAAAAGAAAGGTAGCCCCCACTGACTATTACCTTTTGCACAATAAAGAGGCATTATGTTGGTTAAGAACAATTTCTGAGCAATGTATGAAAAACAAATCCCCTCATTCATCTAATTATCGGATTGAGGAAGACTTCTGAGTGAGGGGAATGTGTGGCAGAACATCCATAAAGTGGAGAATGAGGAAGCAAAGCAATGTCAAACATTTCCAAGTTAGGAAATCATGAATTAAGCCCTGAGGGATGAAAATACCATGGTATGTGCTTTTTTTCTGTTTTCATTTTTTTTCCCCCATAGGGCATGTGCCATTGTTGGAGAGAGACAGAGAGAGGAGAAAGTGGCATGACTGGACCCTGTGGAGGGTATGCTCTCTCACTGTCATGTGTTCTTGCACAAGCTCTATCATGAATAAAAAAAAATGTATTTCAAAAAACTTTTTGTTGTTGTTTATTTATTTATCTCATGAGAGACAGAGACACAGAGAGGCACCCCCACAGTGCCTTCCTGCCACCATCCAACCCCGATGTCAGTTAGCATGCCCAGAGAGGTCCCAGGACATAACCCAGGACCTTTTCCATGTGGATCTAGTTGTAGTACCTCTGCACCTAGCTCAAAGAAAAATATTTTTTTAAAATTTCTTATCTTCTAAATAAGTGTATTTAACTATTTTTAGATGAAAAGATATGAAATCTGAGATTTGCTTTAAAATAACAGGGAGAGATGTGAGTAGGAGTAAAGCCAAGTGAGATTGCCCATGAACGGATGAGTTTTGTTTTGATGGTAAGTTCATAGGAGTTAGTCATACTGTATATGTTTGAGCTTTTCTATTAAAACTACTAGTTTTATATTAAATAGAATTCAAATCTAAAGTTGTTTTCTCTTTTTTAATAGATGGCAAGAAAGAAGTTGAAACGTTTTACCACTTTGGAGGTGACTCTCAGTGTTCTCCTGCTGGTGGTGTTTATCATCGCTCTCGTTCTCATAGTGCTTTTAGCCACAGGTTCTAAGGATTCTAAAGGTAACCAGTCACTTAGGCTCTCCCTGTGTATCTAGATTGCTCATCACAGAGCATACCCTCATCAATGGTAGGGAAGTAATGTTTTCGTGTACACTGGTGTGAGTGTGTGTGTGTGGGGGATTGTGTATGTGTGTTGTGTGCATTTTGGGAAACATCTAACTAGAACTGAGGCAGCTCAATAGGTGTTTGTTGTAGGTTTAATTTCTGACACATTCATTTGTCAATTTAATTAGTGCAGGATTCCATAGTTGACACTCAAAACACATTTACTGAAGTTCATCAAATAATTCTAATTCTGTTAATAATGATAACAATCCCAGCTGTGGCAGTGTGAGTTGTAGAGTGCTGCTGCCTAATCCTGCAGCCACTTGGGAGGGCCTGGGGTTCAGATCCCAGATCAAGCTGAACATGCTGGGTACACTCATAGGTGCATTTATAATCCTGGCTGTTTGGAAGACTAGGGGAAGCATTGTGATATAACAAGATCCTATGAGGGTCCCTGCCCCCCCCCAATAAAACAAACAAATAGATAAATTTAAAACAAAATAATGATAAATAGCAATACTCTTATGGGAAAGTCAGTCAAGTATATAATCAGTTAAGGTATTTTAGATTAAAGTTAGTTTCTTTCAAAAAAGAACAAATTATCTTACTTATTTTATTAACAGTTTATTGAATTGTTTTGTCCCCAAAGAAGGGCTTGGAATGCACTGAGTTATTCATGTGATCCTGAAGTTGAACTAAAACCCTTATGTGGAAACTGGTATAAATATGGAATTTGTTTTACCTACTACTTTAAATTAGAAACACTAGCAAAAATCAAATTATTTAAAAAGCCTCATCATGTTGTCTTGTTATTAATTTATTGCAGAGTGCCTTAGAGAAAGTTCACTTCCTTATTTTAGAATGAAATAAAAATGCCTGCCCTGCTCTACTGATCTGTAAATCTGAAATTGGAATTCCGTAGGTCTTTAGTAGGTTTCTAGACTGGTGGACTCCTTTCACACTTATTGTCATATGAAAATTTGTACTTATAGAACAATTCCATCACTCAGAAGTATTCTTTGTCCAGGCTGTTGACTGAGCAAATGGAGTTGGTGTTGCCATGATTGGAACGAGACTTATACTGCCCGTGTTCTGTGTGCACTGGCTGCTGGGGTTGGAAAAGGACCAGAGCAGAGGTCTGCACACTTTTCTGTAAAGAGCCAGATAGGAAATATTTTAGATTCCATGGGCAATATGGTCTCCGTCATATCTTAATTCTGCCATTGTGGCATGAAAGGAGCAATGGATATGGTCGTGTCTCAAATACTTTATTTGAAAATAGCCTTCAACCTGATCTGGCCTGAAGGCCATTGTTTGATGACCCTAGACAAAAGGAAGATTGATTTCCACCTTCCTGAGCTTCTAATCTAATGGTGGAGTCCTTGATTTGTACATGTTATCTATCTTCTAGAGACGAGACTTGGGGGAATAAGACGATGCGGGTATACGTAGATGTAAAGACAGTTAGTAAGAGCAAAATGAGGCTTTATAAAGTGAATCCATAAATTTTGAGGACATCAGAGTGAAATTCCATCAGTAGTAGAGTTAATATAATTGGAGATATTGAAAACAGAGACTATTAAATGCCTGTGATGTTAAATCTGTCTGTTGATCATTTTGTGTTTCCTTTTGGGATTGCCCTAGATTCTGAGACCACTGGTACCCCGACTCCTGGGACAAGTACCACCCCTGATTCTGCCAAGTGCCCAGTGGTAAATGAATTGGAACGAATAAACTGCATTCCTGAGCAGTCACCAACAAAGGTTTGCTTTATGGATCTTGTTTTCATTGAGTTTATGCCATTGGGTATATTTTTAAAATTTGCTGCTTCTCCTTCTTCTTCTCCTCCTCCTCCTCCTCCTCCTTCTTTTTCTTTTTGATGTTCGTAACTCTCGGAGAGCTTTTTGTATTGAACTCATTGTAGCTCAGGCAAATTAATCCTATATCCATGCTTGTATGAAGAGCAGAATTTGGGAAAAGAAGAGCTGAAAAATTCCCTACAATTGCCAGATTCAGCAAATAAAAGTACAGGTTGTCCAGTAAAATTTGAGTTTCAGATAAATAAGGAATAGGCTTTTAGTATAAGTATGTACCCTACAATAATTAGGGCTGACTTTCTACAAATATATTTGTCTTAATCTGGCAACAAAATTTGACTGTTGTTTCTCTCTGACTCTGTTGCTGCCTGTTTTGCCCTTTGCCTGCCTGTCTTCTTCCTTTTTTAATCACTGAAGGTTGGGGACAAGCACATGGCTTGGTGATTAAGATTTTGGAAACTCCCACATGACTGATCATGGTTTGAGTCCCAGACCTGGTGAGTTGGTTTTTCACTTTCTCTTTCTCTCTCTCTCTTTCTCTCTCTCTCTCTGTGTGTGTGTGTGTGTGTGTGTATCTCTGGTCAAATGAAAAACAAATGAATGAATAAATAAAATTAAATAAAAATAATTTAAAAAAATCACTAATAGTTACCTAGAATCTATAGTAAAAATTAATACACGTGCTTAATACACTATTTAAACTAAGGACAAAGTTTCAAGAGCTTTGCTTTGAAAGGAAAATAATAATTAATATCAGATTATATATAATTCAGGCCTCTGGGCATTTACTTTAGGCCAGTGTCTCTTGATCATTGGCTAAAGTCTAGCTTGTTATCATGATTGTAAAGTACATTGAGGGCAGTATTGTTGGTCACTTTTTACTTTGTGAATGAAAGTGACATCTAAATAGGACAGAATGTAGCTTTCTAAGTGAACTCTATTAACATGAAATAGCAGATTTGGATCAGATATGGGTTGGAAATCTGACACAGGGACAAAACAGATGCTTGGTGCTTGTAAGTGCAGGGACCCATGACGCTCCCACATTTATCTCTGTAGTCATCCTGTTCTCAGTGGGCTATAGTAAGCTGTGGTATTCTTGAGAGTTGCTATTTTGGTTTGCCTAAAGACCCTATATAGCAAAATATTTATTTTCTTTCTTATTAAATAACAAATCTGCCCTAATGAATTACTCTTTTGGGAAATGAAGTGAGGCTGAGGAAGATATGAATATGGAAGAAAGAGGCATTAGGATATTCATCTTGCTTATCTCAATTAGGAAAAAGTAAATGAGTAAAACCAGAAAAATGAATGAGGAATGAAATTTCAATCAGAAAGCATGTTGCTCCAAATATCCAGATATTAGGTGTTTTGCAGCCCTCTTTTTTTATTACAAAAGATTGTTTTTATTTTTTTTTCTTAGTTTTTTTTTGGGGGTAAGGTGTGCTGAAGAGAGACAGAGAGGAGAGTAAGAAATCCCCCCCCCCTCGGGGGGAGAGTGACCATGCCACAACCCTTCTCCTCTGTTCTCCTCTCAGGATTTTAGGTTCACACATACATTCTCCTGGTGTGATTCTTAAGCCTTCAGGTTTAGGACTCATACTGTGGTCAGCCTATGGGAGTCCATGCCATCGTCTGGCCCCTTGCAGCCCTGATGATGCTAAATGATTTGATTTCTGTCCTTTCCATGAGTACTCTATTGTTGTGTAGATTAGATAGGCAGGCGTGTACCTGGAATGTGTTGAGGAAACAGTAAGGAGCTCCTGTGACTGGAATAGCATAAGAGAAGCAAGAAATATGAGATAAGATCATTAAATACATGGCATAAAAGGGAAGATGTTATGTGTAGATCTTGTGTAGCCTGAGGGTAATTATAAAAAAGCATAGGATCAGTCAATCAGAACATTCAATCGACTATTTTATTTTATTTATTTATTTTTTTAAAGAACTATTTTATCTAACTTTATTCATTTATTTATTTATTTTAATTTGACTAGAGAGGGTCAGAGTGAGAGAGAGGGAACGACAATCGGGGGAAAGAGAAGCGGAAAGTGAGAAAGCATGCCACCAAGTCCAGAACTTGAGCCGTGGTTGGCCATGTGGGAGTCCAGCGCCCTTAACCACCATACCACCTGCCGGCTCCCAATCAACTGTTTTAAACATTAATAATTCTTGATTATAAATGCAATTAGGAGTTCAGAAGTCGGAAAGACCATTGTGAGTCAGGGAAGAAGCAACCTTGATTCTGGGGCATGGAGATTACTTGGACCTTGAGCAGCAAGCAAAAGGGAAGGAGAGAACATGCCTGGGAGGAAGGCTTATGTAGACTGTGTTGGCTTCCTAGTGCTGCTGTAACAAAACATTGCAAATTGGGTGGCTTAAAACAATGGAAATGTATTTTCTTATAGTTCTAGAGGCCTGAAGTCTGAAACCAGGGTGTTGAGAAGAGTTGGTTCCTTTTGAGAACCCTGAGGAAAAATGTGTTTCATGCCTCTCTCCTGGTTTCTGGTGAGAGTCAGCAATCCCAGGTGTTCCTTGGCTTGTAGCTACATCACACCAATTTCTCTGCCTCCATTTTCATGTGACATTCTCCCTGTATGTCTATGTCAATATTTAGGTCTCCCCTTTTTATAAGGATACTGGCCATATGGGATTAAGAGCTCATCCTGCTCCAGTATGCTCTCATCTTAACTGATTACATCTGCAACAACCCTATTTCCAAGTGAGATTACGTTCTGAGGCACTGGATATTAGGACTTCAACGTATCTTTTCTGGATATACAATTAGACCTGTGACACAGACACATTTACTAAAATGGGAGTGGGAATTATTGCAACTTGGGCCTTTGGTATGGATTGAAATGATGTAAATGCTGAGTCAAAGAAAATGAAGACAGCAAAGAGAATAGATGAGAGACACGCATGAGCAAGGGACTAGGTTTTGAGAAGGCTAGACTATAGGGCAGAAAAGGGAACCAGAGCCAGACAAGTAACTTAGAACGCAGAAAGAGCCTAGGAACTGGTGCCAGAGAGAGAAGACTGTTTAAGACTGTATTTAAGGTGAATTAGAGTCTGGTGATAGATGACCGTTAATAAATTGTCTTGTCAATAGAAAAAATAGGAATGGGAAGTTGTGGTCTAGATTTGTTGTACCTAAACCAAATATTTGGTGCACTAGGTCTTCAGAAAGTTGATGTACATCCATTTACTCGCCCCTATCATATTGTGCTAGGAAACTAGTTATTTAGAAGTGTACCTAGAAGACAATCACATTCTAAGTATGTCTCTCTCCTACAACCTTACACTTCTATCTTGTTATTGGATATTGGTGAACCTCAGATGTTGTTACTGCCACAGTAATGTTTCTTTGATGTTTTATTGCCTGTTGGTCTTATCTATGTGTATCTTCTATAAGTACTGTGGTATTTATTGAAATAAATGCCCATTGGTCTTATCTATGTGTATCTTCAATAAATACTGTGGTATCTATTGAAATAAATGCCCGTTGGTCTTATCTATGTGTCGCACCCAACTGAATTACCCTATAACCTTGACGTCCACCTGCAGGTTCCTATTTTGCTCAGCTGAAGGAATATTGGCACATTTAACCATCTATTTTCTTATACAAGGCATGTCTTAGGCATTTAGTTGCATGTTTTCTGTATCCTTAGAACCATATGCTGATGTGGGCTGTGCTGAGAGGCTCAAACTTTGGATAATGGTGTATTTATATGATGTACCTGTTAAAGGGATATGTATATAGCTGAAGAAGAAGGGTGGAAAGAGACAGTGTAAACCATTTTAAACATCTTCATATTTAAGGGTTAGAATGCACTTTATTGATCAAATCAATCACAGGCCAGCCTAGATTCAGCAGAAAGGGCAACAGACCCACCTCTCCATGGTAGGTATTTCTAAGACCTTGCAGCTATTTTATTTTTTTTAATTTTTTATTTAATTTTTATTTTTTTTCCATCCAAAATACACTGTGTATTGGCTCAATCAAGCACATCAACATACATGTTTTCAGCAAGTAATTTTCCAATTCTTATGTCTTGTATACTTTGTTTTTTGTTTTGCCATCCTTGATTCCCTATCCCTCACCCCCTGCCATGTCCCACCCTCCTCCCACATTGCCTCTGGTATCCATGGTTGCTTTCTATGCAGCTATTTTAAACAACTGCGGAGGAATGCTTATGTTGCTTTGAGTAATATACAGGCTACCCTTAAGCACAAAGGCTGTGATAAATTACTAGATAATATAGTACAGGGAATGATGGGGTGGATCCTAAAGAGCCCATACCCCTCTCTCTTTTGACAGGAGATGACTAATAATACTGACTCACTCAAGTTGACTCTCACTGGGCCTAGGGTCACTTCCTTTTAAACTGTTTACATTTGGCCCTACAACTTTGTCCTTTTTCTTTTATGTATGATATCTTTACTGAGGTCCAATTTTTTTTCTTAATCTTATATATGCTGCTTCATAATGACCTAACCATTTATGCATTTCAAGGCATTTAATCTTATAAGTAAATTATCTTCAATATTCATTGTAGAAAGACATATAGAATTATTTCTGGGTGTGTTTCTGGTTGATAAGTAATTTTACCTTTGGTATATGCTTTTGGGCTTATGGGTGAAAATTTCTTTTTTTTTATTAAAATATTTGAGAAAGTCTTTAAAACTAAATGTATATATGTTTACTGCAGGAAATGAGTTAGGGGAGAAGGTCTGTAGCAGATCTCCTTAGATTTCTTCCAGTTATTTCTACCTGTTACACTAATCAGCACTACAAAGACCTGGGGACTATTTTCTTTTTTTCTTATAACGGTGTGAATTGTGGATTATTGTTCAGTGGTCTCCATGTTCATTGTACTATTTTTTGTTTGCTTTCCTTTCCTGTCTTTCTGATTAGTCTGAGTTGCTAAGTTGTAGTGCTGATT